CAAAAAAAAAAAAAAAAAAAAAAAAGAGTTGCAAAGAGATCTCTTGGTAGATTACGTTCACCCCTAATTTCACCAACAATTACTAGCACTGACTAATAAAGAAAATTGTTTCAATCCCTGCATAATTATAAAACCTCTAAATGGAAATTAATGAAAACATTCCCTTGTTAAAAAAATTATGGTCTCTTGGGCCAGGTGCAATGGCTCACACCTGTAATCCTAGCACTCTCGGAGGCCAGGGTGGGAGGATTACTTGAGCTCAGGAGTTCCAGACCAGCCTGAGCAAGAATGAGACCCTGACTCTACGAAAAAATAGAAAAAATTAGCTGGGTGTGGTGGCTCGTGCCTGTAGTCCCAGCTACTTGGGAGGCTGAAGCAGGAGAATCGCTTGAGCCCAGGAGTTGTAGGTTGCCCGGAGCTATGGATGATGATGCCACTGCACTCTAGCCAGGGTGACAGAGAGAGACCTCTCTCTTTAAAAAAAAAAAAAAAAAAAAGTCTCTGGAATTTTAATCACATTAATACATAAATGCAATAATCGATCCATTTTATTTTCTAATGAATAAATGCATTTCTCATATTACATTTCCCTTTCCCCCACTAAGAGAAAAAGTTCAATAAGTAATGGCGATTATCTGACCTCAATATTTTGCTCTAAGTATAATTCTCCTTTAGCGGAGAGAAACAATAAAGAATTAGAAATTTCTTTTCTATATCCTCTGGTACCCCATCTGACACAGGTGAGCAAATCCCCATACAACAGTTCAAATAATATATTGTAAAAAAACGTTCACAAGGTTACGAATATAAAGCTTTTGTATGGTATAGTGGACAATTTGCGGCATTTATTAAATCCTTAATTCAGACACAGAATCGTTGAGATGGTGAACCAAGTAACTGAGGATTAAAGATAAGAACCTGAAGTCGTAAAGTACAAATAGTAAAGTACTTGAGAAATAAGCTGCTACCATTACCTTAAGCAGTTCATTAAGGAATACTTCTCCAGAGAGTCACAAACAAAATGACAGATTTAAAAACAAAAGAACTTTTTTTTTTTTTCAAAAGAACTTTTGATAGAGTCAAAAGGTGCTACTTAGATACCTTAAACAAACCAATTAACAGAAGCAATTCTGAAAGAATGGGTGACATTCATGATAATCACACATTTGAAAAACATTGGCAATGGTTAAGAAGGATTTATTTAGCAGGTCTATTTGGTATATGATAGTGTTTTCTGTAATACTGACAAAAATGTCACTGAACACTGTGAAATCCAGTATTTTCAAAGTATTACCTGGAAATTTATTCTCTTCTGTATTAATTTTTGCTTGACTGAGCAGAGTTGAAACAGAACTAGTATTTTCCACTGGATTGCTTCCCAGCTTGGATTCCAAACATAGGCTGAAATTCTGAACACATATAATTCAAAATTTTCATATCAACTTTGGGTCTTAACCAAATACACTTTGAGTAAATTTTAGCATATATATAAAAGTTAAGATACTTTATATTTGGAATAATTCACACAGACATGCATTAAATAAATCTCTGCATGATCTTGCCACAAGCTACTCCCTCAGCATTAGTGCCCATTATTCCCCTTCAAGCTAAATTTAAAAACAAGCTGGGTACAATGGCTTGCACCTATAGTCCCACCTACTCAGGAGGCTGAGGTGGGAGAGGACTGCTTGAGCCTAGAAGTTCAAAGCCAGCTGGGCAACATATCAAGACCCTGTCTCAAAAAAATAAACACCTCTCCCATGGACATATTCCATAGCAGCCTGGTGCTATACCTTTTATCGTAAGAGTTCTATCTACCTGTCTAAATTGTACCATCCAATATGGTAGTCACTGCCACATCTGACGCATCTAACTAGTGAACACTTAAAACGTGGTATGGTTTGGGATGTGCTGTAAGCATAAATCACACACCAGATTTTGAAAACCTAAGCACATACAAAAAAGAGAGTAAAATATGTCATTAATAATTTTTAGGCCAGGCGCAGTGGCTCACGCCTGTAATCCTAACGCTTTGGGAGGCAGGAGGATTGCTTGTGGCCAGAAGTTTGAGACCAGCCTGAACAAAAGCAAGACTCTCGTCTCTACGAAAAAAAAAAATAGAAAAATTAGCCAGGCATGGTGGCACGTGCTTGTAGTCCCAGCTTCTTGGGAGGCTGAGGCAGGAGGACTGCTCCAGTCCAGGAGTTTGAGGTTGCAGTGAACTATGACAACACACTGCACTCTAGCCGGGGCAACAGAGCAAGACCCTGTCTCAAAAAAATAAAATAAATAAAACAATTTTAAAAACTGATTACATGTTGAAATGATAGTACTTTTATATGATAGGTTAAAATAAAATTTATTAAAATTAATTTTACCAGTTTCTTTTTACTCCATTAATGTGGCTACCAGATAATTTAAAATTATATATGTGGCTCACATTGCACTTTTACTGGATAGTGCTGATCCAGAATACCTTTCCCCCTGTATAAATTCAACTTATTACTCAAATATTAACTTCCTCTATAAAGCCTTCCCCAACCTTCCCTAATTATCCTACATCTACTTTTGTCTATACATCTTTCATGTCCTTATCATTTCCTATTCTGAATCAGCTATTTGTGTCGAACTTACCTGTAAGTCTTAAGAGCAAGAACCACGTTATACTTATCTTTTTATTCCCAAAAACCCCTAATTCAGAACCTTGCCAAAGCAGATACTCAATTAGTAACTAACAAAAGAAAATACTCCAAATTCCATAAACAGTGGCTATCTCAGGGAAACAGAAATGAGGAAGCAAACAATTAATTCTGTGTGTGCATCTGTAATGTAATTGTTACAATGAACATGTGACATTTTTGAACATAGTTTTGAAAAAATAAAACATTTTTGTCATTGAAAAACAAAGCAGAAAAATTAAAGACAAGAGCAACATGTTACTAATTACTCTAATCGTCACCAACCAGAAGTTAGTAAGTTTTTGGGTTTTTTTTGGTTTTTTTTGAGACAGAATCTAGCTCTGTTGCCCAGGATAGAGTGTTGTGGCATCAACCTGGCTCACAGCAACCTCACACTCCTGGGCTCAAGTAACCCTCTTGCCTCAGCCTCCTGAGTAGCTGGGACTACATGCAAGCACCACCACACCCAGCTAATTTTTCTATTTTTTGTAGAATCAGGGGTCTCGCTCTTGCTCAGGTTGGTCTCAAACTCCTGATCTCAAGGGATCCTCCCACCTCAGCCTCCCAGAGTGCTAGGATTACAGGCACGAGCCACCTCGCCTGGCCCAGAAGTTAGTAAGTTATTGGTTTAAAAAAGAAATCATACAATAATTGAGCTTTAAAATTTGTAAGGTCAGAATAATTTAAATTTACCCCAAAGAATTCAGAGAAGTTCTACCAGATGCTTAGCCTTATCAACCATCATCTTTTCTTAGTAGTGCTGAGACTGACACCATATAATCAAAAGAGCAAAATTACAGGTGGCTATAGGAAAAGTTTTCAATGATATAAAAGTTGTAGTTATGGGGGGAAGGTTGTTTTTGCTTTTGTTTTTTGTATTTTCCTACCTCCCCCCAAGTATAAGTCTGGCTGAGCTTTAAAGCTAGCCAATCTCAGTTTAAATCCTGGCTCCAGCACTTAACTGTCACTCAGGTAAATTACTTTAATCTCTAAACCTCACTTCCCTCTCCTGTAATATGTGGATAATAATGGAACTTACAGTGTTGACTATAGTTAATTATATTAAGTTCTCCTTTACCAAAGAGTCAATGTTCATTAAACAAAAGCTATTATGATTGTTAAACTAAGCTACCCTCACTTCTTAGTATTTACGGAGTAAAGAAAAATCTGTTAATGACTACTGCAATGTAAATTACTTAAAGGCAGGAAACGTATCTTCTGTAACCCTAACACGGCATCATGCACACAGCAAGCACTCAAATATGTCTTGAATGGATATGGTCATCACCACATTTTCTGATCACTCTGTGATAGCGATCACATTGTTGATATTGGTGATAAAAACTAGAAATCACCTGAAAGTCTTTGATACAAGAAAGATAAATTTGTGATATATTCCTTTACAGTTATTAAAATGCCCATGTATCAGTAACAATCAAATATAATGCTGACTGCACAAAACCAAGCTACAAAAAATTTATATATGGTATCATTTATGTAAAAATTTAAAACACAAACAAGTATTCTTTATGAATTTATATACACATAACACATAAAATCATAAAAATAAAAAAGATCCACACCAACTCCCAGAGCACATGTAACCCTGGGGAGAAGGGTGGTGAATGGAATGAAGAGGGAGGTGCAGTCTTCAACCATATCGCAACGTACTTTCCTTATTTTAAAGGATCTGAAATAATTCAACAAAATGTTAATTTTTGTCAAATCTTAGTGGCTGATACATGAGGGTAATATTAATCTCTGCTATATACTCTAAATGTTTTAAATAGTCAAGAATTTCAAAACATAAATAAAATTCTTAACACAGCAACAAGTTTCACAGGACTGTTTCTTAGAATGTTCCACAAAAGCGCTGCATAAATCCAAAGCACCTTTCAGTAAAAAGCAATGTTATAATCGAAATTATATACTGTAAATAAACATCTCTATTCTAGTATAGTTTAGTCCAAAAGAATTAGATTTCATATCCTTCAATATATTCTCCATAAACTGTCTGCCTTTTGAGTTTTGACACGCATTTATAAAGCAAGGAATTAGAAGATACACTCCCCAGCTACACGTGCAGAAATAACCCTGAATAAAAAGTCACACACCCCATCTCTGCAAGAGGCCACAACTTATTACTAGAACTACCACTCACTGTACTTCTAATTACTACCACTGACTATTTGGTAAAATCTCTCTGAATAATTATCTTTCAATTGATGCTTTCATTTCTATTTATATAGAAAATAAAATCTAAGAGTACCATATGGTGTGTCTGTTCCATTTAAGTTCACTTTGATTTTCAGCCCAGAAGAACAGACACTGATCTACTTCCATGGCTTCTGGAATAAAGCCCAGATTCTTAACTCATTCAAATTTGCTCCTATACCAAATGTTTCTAAAGAGAACTTTAAATCACTCTCAAAACTCAACTTTCTTCTCTATTCTTTTTTTTTTTTTTTTTTGAGACAGAGTCTCACTGTGTTGCCCAGGCTAGAGTGCCATGGCGTCAGCCTAGCTCACAGCAACCTCAAACTCCTGGGCTCAAGAGATCCTCCTGCCTCAGATTCCCGAGTAGCTGGGGCTACAGGCATGCGCCACCATGCCCAGCTAATATTTTCTGTATATTTTTAGTTGTCCAATTAATTTCTTTCTATTTTTAGTAGAGACGGGGTCTCGCTCTTGCTCAGGCTGGTCTCGAACTCCTGAGCTCAAACAATCCGCCCGCCTCGGCCTCCCAGGGAACTAGGATTACAGGCGTGAGCCACCGCGCCCGGCCAAGAAACATATTTTCTGTTGTTATAATTAATAGAAAATAAATCAGTGTGTTAAATTTAAAAGTTGGAATTCAACAGGTTTATGCTGTTTTATGTTTGTTTATGTTTTATGTTTATACATAAAAAAAATGAAGAGTGAAAATGAGGAAACAATGAGAAGCACCAAAGTAAAGGTGAGCCATCTAAAGGTGTCACTAAATTTTATCACTACAAGATTGAGTTAATAAAATTCTTCCTAACAACATAATAGGATGTCTTACAAATGACTCTTCAACCTCTTATGACTTAATTCTTAAACTAAAATATGTTATAAACACAGTTCTTATTAGAAAGTACTCAGGCACCTCTATTGTACATAACAAAAATGGATTACCTTATCTGGTGCTGCTGATTCAAAAGAATGTTTCATCTGATTATCCAACGGTGGGTCAGGAGGAGGTTTTATCTGATTATCCAAATCACAATTTTCAGGAGTCCTTTCTGTAGTTTTATTAATTTCAACTGTAATGTCATTAATTTTAACTTCTTCAGAATTTATTTCTTTCATTTTTTCCTGCTGGCATTCTATATTTCTATGATGTGATTTTATCCCTAAAAATGTACTTTGTGTCACTGGATGATGCATTTCTAAAGCTGGTGGTGAAAAACTGGTTCTTAACAAGCCCAGTTTAGGGGAAACTTGAGAATCCAACTTATTTTGCTGCACAGAGTTAAATTTTGAAAGTTTAATTTTAGTCCAGTTGGAGTTCTTCTTAGTTGAGCTGTTTATTCCATTTAGTACACACTTCACAGGCTTTGTTTTTCTACTGGGGAAGAAACGATTACATTGCACATCCTGATTCGTTTCCTTCTGATGAAGTATTTGTCTCTCAACATTGGTCTCTTCCAATTTTATTTCTGTAGGCTTCTCCTCCTTTACACTCTCCATTTGTAAAGATTCCTTTTTTACCTCTACAGTATCTGACTCAATTTCACCAGCAATTTCCTCACAGAGCTGGAGAATACTACCTCGTTTGCTCTTACCTTCTTGCTCCAGCTCATTATCTACACTTTTTTCAGGCACTGATGGCTGTGGACTTTTTTGGGATTTTGCGATAGTATTCACTTGTGTATGAACTGACTTCATCTCACTCTTTTTCGAGACCACTGAAATAGCCACTTTTGATCTTTTTATCTCAGAAGTTACAGGCACAGGTTTTATTTCCTCTTTTTTAGTAGTCTTCTGAAGACACTTTTCAGACCCTTGTATGCACTGAGAACTACAAGTATAAGCCGTCTGATGTTCTACTTTGCGTTTTTTCCCTTTGGGGGAATTTATTACTTCATTAATTACAAGATTTTCATCCTCTTTAGAGTCAGACTTTATTTCCAGTACTTTTCTTTTCACATGTTTTTGACTTGTTTTAACTGTATTAGATTTACTTTGAGTATTGCTACAGTGCTCTTTTCTTGTTGGTGGCGAACTCTGTTTAACTGCTTGAACTTGACCCTGAATTTCTCTACTGCGCAAAGACCTTGAAACCTCTGTTAATTGTTGCAGTCTTTGTGATCTCCGGGTAAGCTGTTCGTTTGCTTTAATGGTTTCACGCACCAATTTTTTCTGAGATAATTTCTTCTTTTTTGTAGATTCTTGTTGTGCATGTTCCTTCACAGTCACCGTATTTTTATTAATGGATTGAGTGGCTTTATCACTGGATGATGCCTTTGCTGACCTTGTACTCATGCGTATTCCCAATTCAAGCTGATTTATTTTACTTTCACTGGAAGATTTAACCAGTGATTTTATAATTTCCTTTGGACCTGATTTTACAGTTTCCTTTGGACCTGATTTTTTTGCTAGATTCTTTTGAGAACCTTGAATTTCTGTTTCTAAATTCTTATCTTCACTTTTTTTAGTAACTTTGGAGGAATTTTCTTTTGATTTCTCCTGAATGGACATCATTCCTGAGTAATGTCTTCCTTTTCTGAGTAGTTTTTGAGAGGACTTTCGTGTCCTGATAGGTGCGAATGCTGAATAGCTAGTATTACTAATGAGGAGCAGGTCTTAAAAAATCAACTTTAACTGATGCTGATAAACATTTTCAACAAAAATACTACTTTGCTTCAAGTAAGGTTTCTGTCATTCCTAGGACATGAGAAAAGCTGGCATGAATACTTAAAGATATTTGCTTTACTTTGGACAAGGCAATAGAAACTTGAGGAAAAATTAATTCTAATTCAATATTTTTACAAGTTTTTTTTTATGAAAAGAAATTTAATTCAGATTCAATCTGTTTTGTTAATTTTTAAATTAATTTTGGCTTCAGGCCTAGCCCTATTACTGGAGGAGTTACTTATCACTGACCTGTCTGTTTTGATAAGATTTTTGAAAACATTTTTCTTCTGAAGTCCACAGTTACTGGACTTTGATTCATTTGAAACATGTCTTACGGCTAACACGTTTCTTTCCTTGTTTGCTGAGTCCGTTGGTTTGCAGTTCTTATCTAACTTCCTTCGTTTAATAAAATATTCTATTAAAATAGATTTCCTTTTGTGCTGCCATTTCTGAAAAATTAAAAAATAAAAATTAAATTTTGTACAATCCATGAAACATGGCGATGCTAATACTACACAGAAATAACCTTGATTTAAATAAAATCAAACTCTACCTTTTGAAATATTTAGTCAGTACACTTAATGCTAACAGAATGAAGTATCCCAACTACATTCCTATGAATTATCAATAACTTATCTTATACAAGCACAGAATCGTTGAAAATTAGTTTATGGCATGAGGTTTACTTACAGTTCTTTTCCCACAAGACAGAACTGATGTTTCAGCCACCATAACTCATGAAAATTTGACAAAACCATTCCTTATAATATGCTCTTAACACATTATACAGCACCTAAAAGAAAAAGTACTTTTTAAAATGTTTAAAAGGATAAAGGAAAGACGTAATCATTCATTCACCTCTCATGAAACATAACATTCAAAAATTTTACCCTGGCCGGGCGCGGTGGCTCACGCCTGTAATCCTAGCTCTCTGGGAGGCCGAGGCAGGTGGATTGTTTGAGCTCAGGAGTTCGAAACCAGCCTGAGCAAGAGCGAGACCCCGTCTCTACCAAAAATAGAAAGAAATTCATTGGACGGCTAAAAATATACAGAAAAAATTAGCCGGGCATGGTGGCGCATGCCTATAGTCCCAGCTACTCGGGAGGCTGAGGCAGGAGGATCGCTTGAGCCCAGGAGTTTGAGGTTGCTGTGAGCTAGGATGACGCCACGGCACTCTAGCCTGGGCAACACAGTGAGACTCTGTCTCAAAAAAAAAAAAAAAAAATTTTTTACCCTGTCCTACCATTAATTATTTCTTCAGAGCTCACTTTACGTTAGTATTTCTAGCTTGCAATAAACTATGGTACAAGCATCCAATGGGCTAGTATGCAACCATTTTATATTGTAGAAAAAAGTTTTAAAATACAAAAAACGGTTCATAGTATTAAGCATAAAATAGGTTAAACTGGTAAAGTAATTTTGGGGAAAAAATAGCACACATAGATATATACACAAAAAAAGACTGACATACAGTTAGAGAAGGCAGACTTAAGCACACACATTTACCTCTATTACCATTCAAATCCTACTAAAAAAAAAAGTAATAGAGGGATTAAAACCAAACACGATAAAACCATAAACCCAAAGGATAAAGAATGAGAGTAACAGGCCAGGCACAGTGGCTCATGCTTGTAATCTCAGCACAAGGCTGAGGCAGGAGTATCACTTGAGCCCAGGAGTTTGAGACTAGCCTGAGCAACATATAACATAGAAAGATCCTGTCTCTACAAAAAATAAAAAATAAAAATTAGCTGGGCCTGGTAACATGCACCTGTAGTCCCAGTTACACAGGAGGCTCAGGCAGGAGGATTGCTTAAGCTCAGGAGTTCAAGCTTATAGTGAGCTATGATGACACCACTGCACTCTAGCCTGGGTGACAGAGGGAGATCCTGTCACAAAAAAAAAAAAAAAAAGATTAAGCTGGCAAATAGGATAAAAAAGATAAGAAAATTAGAGGACCATCCATGGAGCACCCACAGGCCAATAAGTAGAATTTTAGAGAATAGAGGAAAAGCACTGGAAAAAAAAAATCAAGAATTCAAGAAATTTTCCTAGAACTGAAAGACATGAGTTTCCAGATTAAAAGGATCAAGAGCATCTAGCACAATATAAGAAGATTTTTAAAAGTATATGGTGAAGATAAAAAGATGACCCTCAAACTTCCAGAGCAGAAAAAGTCTCAACCACATACAGATAATTAAGAATCAGAATTAAAACAAATCTCTCAAGAGCAACAGTATAAGCAAGATAACGGGAAAATCCTTCAAAATGCTGAAGAAAAACTATATCCCAAGTAGAATTAAATGCCCAAACAATTAAGTGTGGAGTCTAGAGTAACTATATTTTCAGGTATTTAGGGTGTCAAAAGTTTACCTCCCACACATCTTCCACTAGGATTTACTATAGAACATGTACCACAAAATAAGTGTATTAAATTGAATTAGGATCTTCAAAGAGAAGGGAACGCAGAAGCCAAACAAAAACCAAGAAAGACTGTACATGTATATCCTTCCTGTGGTTAGTATGAACAAATATAAGCATAAATAAGATAATTTAAAAATTTTTTTCAAAGAATTGCTATTGATAATATAGATAGATAGCCACTCTCGTTTCTCTAGTCATTCCAATAAAAGGAATGAGGTGACAGTTAAAGGATTGAGGATATTTTCAAATATATCTTAGTATCATCAGCTCTTGCAGCATACAAACCAAAAGCAAGTATCATGCTTTATGAAGCAGCAAAGAAGTCTTCAATTAAATTCAGCAAGTATAGCTTTAACAATATAAACAATGAGTTGAAATACATAACAGAAGAAAAATACCACATACCATTTGTAGTAACACACCCATGCACAGGTGTGTGCACACACAGATCAACTTAAAAAGTAACAGGGCAAAAAACAAAAAATAAATGAATAAAAATAAAAACAAAACAAAAAAAGTAATAGGGTAGACTTGTACTTGCTAATATTAATATTAAAACTCATTTAGCTGCGATTATTAACAATTTAGTTCCAACAAATCAACTGACAGATGAATGGAACAAAACAGAGACCAAAAATAGGCCTAATGCATGAGGGGACTTAATACATATAAAGGTGGTATTAATGTCATTAATTTCAAATTAATGAAAAAAGACTACTCAACAACCGGTGTTAGGACAACCAGGTAACCATCTGGGTAATCTATTATATGAGTAAGACAATGTCCAGAAAAAAACTTAATCATGAAAAATAATGTAAAAAACAGATTAAAATATAGAAGAATTTTAATATTTATTTTCAGAGTAGACAAGGCCTTTCAAGCCTTATCCCAAAATTCAGAAGCCAAGTTTGAAGGACAAAACTGGGGAAAAAATACTGACAATAAATAGTAAAAGCTAATCACCATAATAGATTTACAGGGAAAAAACTATAAATGGCTGGTGTGATAAAAACAGAATTAATATAAATTGCGACAAAAACAAAATACCATTTTCCACCTATCAGACTGGCCAAGGATCGAGAAGTTTAACAATACCATCTTGGCAAAGGTTTGTATCAGGTACTCTGACATTACTGTAGGTGATTCAATGTCTATGTAGGACACTTTGGAAATATCTATCAGAATTATATATGGTAATTTTCAAACAATTCCATTATTCCCAGGACTTTATATTACAGCTATACCTGCACAACTATACAAACACACATGTACCTACAAAAGTCACTGCAACAATGTATCAATAAAGATTGAATTGCCCCTAACAATCACCACTGTGACCCTATTCATATAATTGATGATACATTCATACAAAAGAATATCATGCCATCATGTCAAAGTAGAGCTGAGACTCAACTCAATTTCAGGCAAAATTCCCACAGGCTTTTGGCTGGGGTTGGTGGCTCACACCTGTAATCCCAGTACTTTGGAAGGCCAAGGCAGGAGGATCGTTTGAGGCCAGAAGTTCGAGAAAAGCCTGGGCAACATAGCAAGACCATCTCTACAAAAGATAAAAAAACCAGCCAGGCCTGGTGGCATGCACCTGTAGTCCCAGCTACTCAGAAAGCTGGAAGACTGAGGCAGAGGATCCCCTGAGCCCAGGAGTTCGAGGTTACAGTGAGCTGTGATCATGTCACTGCACTGCAGCCTAGATAACAGAGCAAGAGCCTATCCCTTCAAAAACAAACAAATGAAACAAATCAAAACAAAAAACCCCACAGGCTTTTTATACATAAATTCAGAAATTGAAAGCCTGATTTTTAAAACTTATATGGAAATGCAAATAATGTACGATAAATAGCAAAAACATTTTGTTAAAAAGAGTAAAGTTGAAAAACTGACACTATCTGATTTCAGGATTTATTATAAAAGCTATAGTAATCAAGACAGTACAATACTGACAATAGGACATAGAGATTTGTGGAACAGAATAGAGAATCCAGAAACAGACACACACATTTATGGTCAATTAATTTTTTTTTTTTTTTTCCGAGACAGAGTCTCACTGTGTTGCCCCGGCTAGAGTGCCGTAGCGTCAGCCTAGCTCACAGC